TCCCCCCCCCTGCCGGCCTGGTTGCCCCCAACTGCCCTCCCCTGGTCACCCCCAACTGCCCTCCCCGGCCGGCCTAGTCACCCTAACTGCCCTCCCCTGCTAGCCTGATTGCCCACAACTGCCCTCCCCTACTGGCCATCTTGTGGCGGCCATCTTTGACCACATGGGGGCGGCCATCTTGTATGTTGGAGTGATGGTCAATTTGCATATTCTTTATTATATAGGATAACACACATCCACAAAAGTACACAAATCCTAAGTGTACAACTTATAAATTTTCAACATACCTTTGTAACCACATCATTTTATATTTTTTTTGTTTTGTGCTGCTATGTCTTTGACAAAATTTTCATAGTTCTACTTTTAAAAATACATTGTTGTTTAGTGTTCTGTGGTTTCCATAAGTTACATTCTAGATATTCTGCACTTTTTGCTCTCATAATTTTATTAACTCTTTGAGTTTTTACATTTTTCAAGGAGCTCTAAAATTTCATTCAGAATATTGCTATTCTTAGTTCATGGCAAAAAAAAAGGCTTTTATCAGTTAAAAATGCAAAAAGGTAATAACTGCAAATTATTGACATCTAGCCTGTGCAGATTTAATTTTTCTTTCATTCCCAGTGTGGCACACGTTTCCCCCAGTTGGCTGGTTGTGTGGAACTTGATTCCTGTGCCTCTGCATATGATACAGCTCAGGTTGCTAATCTGAAGAAGCAGATCAGCAGCCAGCAGTAAGTGTGTCAAGCCTAGAAATGCTAGACCGAGCTGGGAGGAACTTACAGACGTTAGCCTCAGATGGGGAAACCGAGTCCTGGAAGGTGACATGCCTCCTCCAGGGTCACAGAGTTGGCACCAGAACCGAGTCTAGAATCCTGATTCTAACCCCATTACTAACCCATGCTAAGTCACTATTCTCATCTTAAAGTTCACCCTTTCTACTGAAAATGCAATCCTCAGACTGCGAAATCCACTTCGGAAGAAAGATAAATTACCTAACACGTTTTTCAGCCAAACTTCTTAATGGGGATAACCTAACAGCATTGATCTATTTTGGAAAGTATCCCTTGGGTTACTTTGGGCAAATGAGGGATGGTGTGGGATGGTATAAATGCCGGTCGGTAATTGTTTAGAGCAGGTCCGGGAGGACGTTCAACTGGAATAACCCTGGCAATAGGGAAAGTGTGGCGTGATGTTGACTTGTGACCCTTCCCTGGGGAGCAGCTGTGTCAGGAGACCTGACAGAGCTTCTGGAACACAAAGTCTCAGTCTGTGCTCCCCGTCACTGGGCAGGGAGACTAGCTACTGTGCCTGGGAGATGGCCATCAATGTTATATTCCTTTTTGTTTTGAGATTTTGTTTCAATTGGTGAAAGGTAGATAAGGAAATAAGGCTGCTCTTTGGTTTGCTAAGAGAGGCCAGGGAACATATTTAGTAAGTACTGATAAGTGGGGTGGGCCCTGGGGATTTGGTGCTTAATGAAACATGTCTGTCAGGACTTAGTCTGTGGAGCTGGCAATCCCAAGGGGAGATCACCATCGCCCTCCAGAAATCCTGGTTCTTTTGGTATGTTGTTTAGGGCACTGCACAATTCTCATCAGAGCACACTGATTTCTGCCTACCTATAAGTTTGTAGAGAAAGGTGTCTTCTTAGTCTCACATGGCAGCCATCGTTGGTCTAACCCAGGGGTGGGCAAACTTTTTGACTCGAGGGCCACATGGGTTCTTAAACTGGACCGGAGGGCCGGAACAAAAGCATGGATGGAGTGTTTGTGTGAACTAATATAAATTCAAAGTAAACATCATTACATAAAAGGGTACGGTCTTTTTTTTTTAGTTTTATTCATTTCAAACGGGCCGGATCCGGCCCGTGGGCCGTAGTTTGCCCACGGCTGGTCTAACCTCTAGTGCCCCTCGCCAAAGCACCATCCAGCAAACCCATTCTATCCTTTCTCACTCTGTTCCCGGAGTACAAGCCTTTCTCAGAGGCTCTGTCCCTTACATATCTATGGCTGTTCCTGCCTTTGAGCTTTTGGACATGTTTTCTCCCTTATGTAGAATGCCCCTTCCTCCCCTTCTGTTTCTCCAAATCCTGCCCAGCCATTAAGGCCCAATTCAGTTCCCATCTTCTCTCCTCAGAACTCATGTGGCACTTCTACCCATACCAGGCTATGGATGGTATAACTACAGTTCAGCCTACTGGTGAAGAGTGGACTCTGGAGCTAGCCCGTCTGTGTGACCTGGGCCAGAAGCTTTCCTGAATCTAGAGTTTTATAGAGTTCTTCACCTATAAAAATGGGAATAATAATTGGATTTAGCCATAAGTTGTGTAGAATGAATGAGTTCATACTATTAAAACCCACAGAACAATGCCTGGTACATAAGTTCTCATTAAATATTAGTTATTATTCCTTCTAGCATGTATGTAATCATGGCCTTCCTTGTGTTGTTCAATCATTTTAAGTATTTATTGGCCCCTAGTGACATTGTAAAGTCCTCTCATGAAGAAAGCGGCTTGATTTTACACTTCTTGTTGACCTTTTCTAGCCATACATGTGCATATAATAGTTCCCCAATACATGAAACTAATACTGTATTAAATAAAGAAAGTAGATGGAACAGGAGTAAGGAATTGAAAAGAAAATACAGGCTTCAGTTCACAGATGGTGTTTTCTTATGAGTCTCAGAGCATGCAATTTGTTCGTTTTTCTTTCCTTGTCCTGAGTCTAATGAGCTCTTCTGTCACACTCACCAGAGGTATGAACATCACTTAGCAAGGATGCTAGAAATTTCAGGAGGTTGTTTCCGACACTGTTTTCTTCTAGGCCTGTGCTGGGATGGAATCTCAGACAGTAGATTCTGATCTATCAGAATATCTCAAAGCAGGTGGGTCCTGAGCTGGGTGTTACTAACATACCTCCCTTGCTGAGGGGCACGGGCAACTCACCAGTAGGGAGGGGACCTTACCCTTCAGCCACCCTCTCTTTGCCTTTCCCTCCTCCTCTATTAGCAGCTGAGATGCTCACAAGCACCTTCTTTAGCCGTCAGTGTTCACAAACATTTGGGGGAAATCAGAGGTTGCCTTCTGGTGGGAAGAGGTGGGGACCCAGGCAGAAGCTTTCAGTAAAGAGCCAGGTGCAGACAGGAGTGTGGTGATGGTAGGAGCTGCCAGAGGGTTCCTCGGCCATTCACCCAGCAGCCTGGGACTTTAGCCAGGGTCTCCACAAAGCCCCGTGGGTGCCCTCTCTGTGATGAAAATGCTGTGTTTCTCCTTCTCCTAGGCTGGAACAAGACATTAAAAAATTAAAGGCTGACCTGCAGGCCAGCAGGCAAGTGGAACAAGAGCTCCGCAGTCAGATCAGCTCCCTCTCGAGCACGGAGCGAGGGATCCGCTCAGAAATGGGCCAGCTTCGGCAGGAGAATGAGCTGCTGCAGAACAAGTATGTGCACCTATCAGGCCTTTGATGAGCCAAGTGGCCTCACTGCTTCTTTTGTTTCCAGGGATTGGAGCACAAGATTCATGATGACAAAGGGATCGAGCAAAGGGGTTTTTAAATAAAATGTTTAATTTAATACCAGATATACAACATGTTATAAAATCTGTAAGAACCTGTTTCATTTCAACAAAAGTTTGTTAATATTGCTATTTTGTCTTCTCTCATTTAATGACTTATCTTAATTTAAAATAGTTATCAAGCTTTTATGATAATATACGGAAAGTTGAAAAGAAGTATTTCTGCCATAATTTGAAGCTCTTGATCCTTTGAGTGAAAGTTTCCAGAGCACTGGACTCTATTTACTGTGATTTCCCAAACTAAATGACATTGAACTTTGATTTTACTTGAAGAGACAGTCAAAAGCCAGCTCTTCTGTGTGAATTCTTATGCTTTCTATTAATTCATTCTGGAATTATTTCTTGACTCAATATGGGTCTGTCCTTTTTTTATTTTTTAGTTTCTTAGCACTGTGTGCCTACAGTAGTGAATAATATAGGCTTTGGGTTTCCTGGGCTTGCCCTATTGAAAGAGTAATTCTTCAACATTTTTAAGGAATGTAACTCAAAAGTTTAAGCATTATAGGCAAATAACCTCTCCACTGCTTCTGACCCACATATGTGGTGACTGTAGCATTGATACATAGAGAACATCTCACCCTTATTGATGTATTTAGATAAACTGACCTTATATTGTTATGTTAAGCTGCGGGGTGGTTGTAGGCAGGGAAGGGAATATGGCTGAAATTTCCATCTGAAATGAAGCATCCTATGAACCTACAAAATCTAGTTTGGGATACTCTAGAAAAACCATCTCACAGCTGGAAAGAAGAGGCAGCAGCATAATTGTATTCAGGCAAAGAAAGACATTCCCCCACTCACCCTTTACCTCAGTTTCAGTGGTGCTGGTTCCATCAGCTGTGCCTTGGTCAGACTGAAGTTCTTTCAAGGTGCTTTGGGGCACTTGAATTAGTTCTACTGTTATATTTCCCTCTGATAAAAACTTGCTTTACCCTATTTTCTGAATGACCTTCTGTAGATAAGAGCAGAAGCTAGGTCTGTATCTTATATGGCAGCTTGCTTACTGGTATTTAGAAATTGTTAAATAATTATGACAGTGTGTTCTCCCTGGGCACTCTGGGAATTGACATTTATGTTTGCTGTTCAAAACTCTTCTTTACTTTGGCCTTAAAATGACAAAGAGGAGCCATGTTTTTCCAGAGTTCATAGTGGGTATTGTAATTGTAAAACTCTGTGTGACAATCATTTCCATATAGGTTACATAATGCTGTGCAAGTGAAGCAAAAAGACAAACAGAATATCAGCCAGTTGGAAAAAAAGCTAAAAGCTGAGCAGGAAGCCCGAAGCTTTGTAGAAAAGCAGTTAATGGAAGAGAAAAAGAGGAAGAAGTTAGAAGAAGCTACTGCTGCCCGGGCTGTTGCATTCGCTGCTGCGTCCAGGTATGTCCATATCACCTGAGTGCTTAATCTACGGTTGGCTTTCCTTGTATCGAGGCAGCCATGGGAATTTGATGCTTCGGGCAGGATTAGAAATACAATAGTCGTGCATGGATGGATTGCTTTTAATTATGGCTTTATTAGTTGGTTTAAACTCCATCTGTGCAAGTTTGCACTCTCTTATAACAACTTCATCCTCAGCGATCTCCTCCATAAAGTGAGGGGAGGATATCACCATGCCTCCCACACCTGGGAGGCAAAGTGCTGCTCATAAAAGGGTTTCCAGCTCTAGCTGGTTTGGCTCAGTGGATAGAGCATCGGCCTTCGGACTGAAGGGCCCAGGTTTGATTCCCAGTAGGGGGCATGCAGGAGCAGCCAATCAATGATTCTCTCATCATTGATGTTTCTATCTCTCCCTTTCCCTTCCTCTCTGAAATCAATAAAAAAAATTTTTTTTTTTTTTAGAAAGGGTTTCCAATCACCATGCCTCCCACACCTGGGAGGCAAAGTGCTGCTCATAAAAGGGTTTCCAGCTCTAGCTGGTTTGGCTCAGTGGATAGAGCATCGGCCTTCGGACTGAAGGGCCCAGGTTTGATTCCCAGTAGGGGGCATGCAGGAGCAGCCAATCAATGATTCTCTCATCATTGATGTTTCTATCTCTCCCTTTCCCTTCCTCTCTGAAATCAATAAAAAAATTTTTTTTTTAGAAAGGGTTTCCAGTCACTTTCTTCCAAACTGATATTTACTAAACACTTTGAAAGAACCAATCTAGAATTTTGTACTCTTTATAGAACCATCACTACTCCCTACTCTTTGGTGTGTGTTTCTGAAGTTTTTATCTTAAAACTAGAGGCCCGGTGCACAAATTTGTGCACATTGAATGGAAATTAATTAGAAGAAATATTTTAATACCACTATTCACCCTTTCTCTATAATAGAAGTGTCAACCAAATTCACGATCGACAATGACAGATGGAAACACATGTGTGCGATTGGCGCCAGCAAGAGCTTTATATATATATAGATATAGATAAACTTGCTTAATTAGACCTGCTTTCTGATTTAGCTAAACTTTTTCCAGCCCAGTGAAGCACCCCAACTTCTTTCAGGTAATTGTTAGCAACACAGCAGTAAATATCAACAGGAAGCAGATTATTATTGTAGATCACACAGGGAGAACAAAGGGTAAAATATTTAACTGCAGCAGTGTTTGACTATATTCTGCGCAGTGAGAAAACCTGAAGTCATTTTCAAGGTCCACCATTTCTTTCTTCTTTTCAGTTGGGTCAAGTTTCTAAGCTTTCTAAATCTCCATTTTCTGGGTAATGAAAAGACAATAGGATTCCACTGAGTCTCCTATCTACCTACTCCAGGACTTCTGTGAGGACCAAATGAGATGAGGCACAGGAAAAAGCTTCACAGACATTTGGTTACAGTGTGAAATGTTTCCACCTGGCTATAAAGCAAGTCGTGTTCCTGGGCTGAAGAAACTCCAGGGAAGCTAGTGGCTAGGGAGAGGAAGGCAGGCGTTGCTACGTGACGTCATTACCCGGTGCCCACAGCTGGGCTGGGCTGGGCTGTGGGCCACATTTTGCACCATGGGGTCTCGGCAGTGTCAGCTGCGATTTGGTGGGGTGTCACTCCAGGGTGGTGGTGGGGCCTGTGTTCCACTTGGGGGAAGCCAAGTGTTGCTCTGTGGGCGGCAGGTCTACAGTGCCGTTTCTCTGTCAATGGCCAGTGTGTATCACGGCAGCTCCTGTGTTGAGCGTCTCCCCCCCTGTGGTCAGTGCACGTCATAGACCAGTTGGACGGTTGGACACTTAGCATGTTAGCCTTTTATATATATAGATGGAAGAAAGGTAAAATCTTGGTTCCCAAGTACTATGTACTAACTGCTTATGTCTTTGTTGGATATCAGCAAATTGTCAAATGAGCTGGAAAAGATGGGGAGAAAGGAAACATAAGTCACTCCTAGATATCATTGAGCTTGTGGAGTGATACAAATTAGGGACTACTTCCTATACCATTGAAAAATATGCAAATATTCCAAATCTGATATTCAGATACTATATTCAGATAGTAACTGCTATCTGAATATAAGCAAGGAGAGAAGATAGGTAAGAGCCTCTTGGTTTGTTTTTGGCGTCTACTTCACTTTTTTTCCTTTGTTTTCTTGACTAGTGAAGTCATCTGCATGGTAGAAGTCAGTTACGGGTTTACAGATGCAGAGTGAGGGTAAATTATTATTTATTTCATTTTAAGTTTCTATCATAATTTGTATCTATATGATATAATTCTACTGGCATTCTTCCTTGAGTTTTGCTTTTTTGTATTTGGTGTGTTAATAGCCTTCTTTTGGGTTCTGGCATTTGCAGAATAATTGATCAATCCTCAACTTACCTTTTAGGAAATAACAGCAGGAGAGGACTCTTTCTCCTGTGTGATCCTGTCTCCCCCCAGCAGACTCTGTACTGCAGATAGCTGAGCTCACTTGGCTTATCAGCATCTATACAGACACACAAGACCCTTTATTAGTCTGCCTAACCCAGTGGTTGGCAAATTCATTAGTCAACAGAGCCAAATATCAACACTCCAACAATTGAAATTTCTTTTGTGAGCCAAATTTTTTAAACTTAAACTATATAAATAGGTACATTGTTATTAACTTAATTAGGGTACTCCTAAGGCTTAGGAAGAGCCACACTCAAGGGGCCAAAGAGCTGCATGTGACTCGCGAGCCACAGTTTGCCGACCATGGGCCTAACCGAACCTAATCTAATGTGGAGTTTTTGGTTTGTTAAGTGTTTGAAAATTTGTAAGCATTTCTGAAGCACTTAAACTTGCAGGAGATTTTTCTGAACAATAATCTAGTGTGGCCCGTGCTGTCCTTAATTCATCTACTATCTACCCTTTTCCCCCCCCAAAAAACCCACTGAGAAGTATATGACAATTCCTTAACCATGTTGTGTAGTGCCTCTTACTAGTATACCTGAGAATCAGTAAATTGGTTTTCTTCTCTACTCTAAATCCCTTTTGTTTCCAGTTAAGCTTATTTGTTTTGTTTTGATCTTACCCTTAGATGGTCCTTGTTTGCCATCACTTGTGTAGAGATTGTTTTTATTCTTAACGAAATCTCAAGGCTTTGAGTCTCTCACTGGACCTTTATTTGTGTGTAGGCAAGACACCTACTTTCTCCATCAGGCTGTTTCTGCAATCTTGCTATCACCTTTTGTAGTTTATCCTTATTGTAGCCTTGAGAAGCCACCTCATGCTGCTCCCTTCTTCTGTTTACTCCAGGCCTGTGACAACCATGATTAAAGAAAGGTGAAAGTCTCAAGGCATAGTCCCTCAAAAGTGGAAAAAAGTTCTGGTTCACTGCCCCCTGCTGGGCATGTCTGGCTCTGCCTTGCTCAGTTTGTGTGCATTGTCTCAAGTCATATGGCCGGGTGGGAAGCTTGTTGGGAAACCTCCATTTTTATCCCAGTTCTGTGACCTACAAACTAGGTAGCCATGAACTAGTATCATATCTTATTTATAAAAGTGGATAATATACCCTATCCCCATAAAGAAGGTAGTGTGGGTGAAGTACCTAGCTTGGTGCCTGGCTCATATTAGATATCCAGTTAATGATAATTATTTTTTGAGAGTTTGTTGAAATTATCAAAGAATAGAGAGCATACCAGACAGCCAATACCTGACTGACTTTGGAGTATAGAGAAGTATCAATCCTGCAATATAAATAAATAGTCTTTTAAGTCCCCTTCTCTCCTTCTCTTCTTTTCAAAAGGGGAGAGTGCACCGAAACCTTACGGAATCGGATCAGAGAATTGGAGGCAGAGGGCAAGAAGCTCACAATGGACATGAAGGTGAAAGAAGACCAGCTCAGAGAACTAGAACTGAAAGTCCAGGTAATGGGAGGACCAAAGGCTTTCTCGTACTTGAATTCCTCTTCTGCGTTGATTGGTGGCCTGTGATACAATGTGGAGATGGTGCTTTTTGATGCAGGCAAATCCCATTGCATCTGAAAAGCTCTGTGACCAGAGGAAGCTCTAATCTTGTCCAGCTCATTGATGTCATATTTAACTTAGTCAGATTCTAATACAAGCCAGAAATGTTGATGGTCCTTTGACATGTTTTATACCAGAATTTGAATTACTGTAGATTCATTTTATTTTTCTAGGTTATAGGCCAGATTAGTGTCCTTTGGGATTTCTACATCTCTTATCAGCCCTCACCATCTCTCCATCCCCAGGGAATTGACCATTCTGGTTGCTCTGAGCTTTTCCAGATTGCAGTTCTGAGCAGTACATTGGGAGGAAAGCTGCCAGTGCTGTGAATGTAGCCAGTTTTGGGAGCCATGTGTACTGTGGCAAAGTATTTGGCATAGGCACTTCAAGGGAACATTTAAAATGAATGTCATATATTATAAAGTAACAGTAATTTTTATAAAGTTACAGTAATTTGACTCGTGTGTGGTAAAGGTAGCATCAGAAATGGATGGGAATGGTGAGGAAAAAACAATAAAATTAGAAGGTCATCTCCATCCTATACAAAAAGAAATTCCAGATGAAGAGTTGAATGCAGAAATAAAAAGACATTTTATTTTAAACTAGGTGAAAATATAGTAGAATTTCTTTAATCTTGAAACAGGGGAAGACTTTCAAAAATAATGGAAGAGGTAATGGAAGGAGACTAAACTTTGGGTGATGAGCATGCAATATATAGGTGATGTGTTATAATACTGAAACTTATATAATCTTATTAACCAATGTCAGTCACCCCAAAATTAAATAAGTTAAAAAGTACATTGTAGTAAAAAATATAATGGAAGAAATCACAAAGCAGAAAATATAAATTAGAATAATCAACTGGGGGAGTATGGATATTGCATCAAATATAAATAAGGAATTAATACTCTCGATATATAAATAATTCATAAAAATTGCTAAGCTCAAATATACAGAAAAATAGGCAAAGGATACCAACAGTTAATTCACAGCAGAACTAGAAATGGCTGATAACATATTATTATATCCTTATTAATCATAAGACATAGATTAAAATTGAGTATCATTTATCTCCTGTGAAATTAGCAAAAAATTTTAAGTGATAATATCAATCTGAGTGAGCCTGCAATGAAATAGGCCTCATACATTGCTGGGGAAGTGTAACTTTCTGGAAAGGGTCATGTACTTTTTAAGTATTTTCCTTGTTAGGACTTCAACCTAAGGTAAATATTTTTTAAAGTCTTATTGATGATATATATACAGAGATGTTCATCATGGTGGTAATATAAATGCAAAAAAAAAAAGGAAACAATCTTAACAATAGGTGATTCATTTAATAAATTATGGCACATATATATGTGGGAGTATTATGCAGCCAGTAAGAATTACATTTTCAAAGAACATTTGCGATTATATAAGTTTTTTTTTTAATTATACAAAACTGAACACATACTGTTACCTCATTTATGTTAAAAGATACACATGTGCTTAAAAGACTAAAATAATATGTATCAAATTTTCACAGTGTTGGGATTTGGGGTGATTTTCATTTTCCTCTTTGAACTTTAATATATTTTAAAATTCTCTATAATACGTGTGGATATCTCTTTCAAAATGAAGAAATTAAAATATCTCTATACATATATTTATTGGTTACATTACCAGATGTTTTAAGTGGACTTATTCTGCAGTGTGCCCTATTAAAATAATTAACATTTTTACAATTGTTAGTGCAAATTGAGAGTAGAATTTTGGCAAATTTGATTACAGTATTACAGCAACATTTGCAACTGGCAGCAAGGAAAACGTTCTTTTTGGTTCTGAATTAAGCTTGTAAGAAAGTGTCTTGTTTGGAGACAGAAAAACCCAACATAGTCAGATTTATCTAAAATGTTTTTGTATGTGCACATCGCCATACAAATACATTTTGCCCTCTAAGTGGTGGGTCTAAACCCATAGAATACTAGCATTCTGTGTTCTAGGGGCCAGGTCAATAATAGCGGGATTTTATTTGTGATTTCAGGCTAATTTGTAGACCGATGCCAAAACTATCTTGTAACATTGCTGCTTTGATGATATTGATAGGAGCTTCGGAAGTATAAGGAAAATGAGAAGGACACTGAGGTGTTAATGTCAGCTCTCTCAGCCATGCAAGATAAAACACAGCACCTGGAGAACAGCCTGAGCGCAGAAACGAGGATCAAGCTCGACCTGTTCTCCGCACTGGGGGACGCAAAGCGGCAGCTCGAGATTGCCCAAGGTAGGAGGACAGCGGGCCCCCAGGGGAGGTGGTGTGGCTGAGAATGCACAAGGACGAGAGAGCATATCAGTTTTCTCCTTAATGGTTTAAGCGCCCAGCATACAGTTTTGCTGAATTAGAGAACTGCAGAGTCACTCAGAGGTGCTGGTGCAGCAGTACTTACAGGGTCTGTGGGAACATGGAGAGAGGCGGGGACGAAGCCAGTCTGGGGAGTCAGAGGGCTCAGGGAAGCTGATGTCTGAGCTGGGTCTTGAATGATGAGAAAGGGTTAGCCCAGTGAAGAAGCAGTAGAGCGGAGTGAGGACTAGAGAGGCATATAACGGAAGCAGCAGCTTGAGCGAGGCCAGGGAAGCTAGGGGCCTGATGTGTTCAGAGCTGCAGCTGGCTGTGCTTGGCCGGAGAAGGTTACAGTCGAAGTGGTGAGAGGAGAGTCTGGAGAACTGGCTGTTCACTCAGCAGGTATTTATTAAGACCTACTGTGTGCCAGGCATTGTGAGAATCCCCGAGGGAACAGACAGTAACAGACATTTTGGTCTTAGGGACGCATTTACTCTCTTAAAATCATTGAGTACCCAAAGATGTTTTTATAAAAACCGGGTTATATCTATCAACATTTATCTATTAGAAATGAAAAGTTCAAACATGTATTTCTTCATTCATTTTAAAATAACATAAACATATTACTTGTTAACATAAATAACATTTTTATGAAAAATAACTATTTTCAAAAAATTGTAATGAGAAAAGTGACATTGTTTTACATTTAGCAAATCTCTCGTTTCTGGCTTAATGAAAGATAATTCCATTCCCATCTCGTTCTACATTCAGTCTGTTGTAATTTCACTGGCCATGTTGTTTCTGGAAGACTTTTCTATGTCCATGAGGGAATGAGTGTGAAGAAGGCCAATCATGCCTTAGTGCGATGGACCCTGTGGATCCTGTGAGAGGGCAAGCCACGCAGCAAGGCAAGGCCTACTGCCCTCAGAGAGAGGAGAGGGCGTGAAAGGCGAGAGGAGATGCTGGGTGGCTTCATGAGGGAGGGGACTCAGCTTTGAAGGGTGACTTCTGAGAGCAGAGAACGGCAGGGAAGAACATTGCTACCTGAGGGAACAGTGAAAGCGAAGGAAAGAAAGTGTTGGGAATTTCAGGTGAGCAGACCAGTGACCTCAAGGTGGGGGGCCTGGCAGAAGAGAGGGGGAGATCAGGAGGACCATGAGTGAAGCCTCCTAGAGAACATATTCCCCTGATTTTCAGGAGGAGGGGTGAGAGGTTCTGGCGTTGTTTTGGAAGTCTCTTTCCAGTAGCTGTGTGAAAGATGGATTGGAAAGACAGTGGAGGCAGGGAGGCCATTTAGGAGGCTACCACTGTCCTAGCTAAGAGTGATGAGTGGGGGAGCAGGATGCCCAGACGGGAGGGAAGGATAAAGGTGCCAGAACCAAGAAAGAGCAGGAAGGTGTGAAGAGTGAAAAGAGAGTGAGTTTGGTTCGGGATGTTTCCATGTGGAGTTGCTTCCTGGACACCCCGGTAAAAAGAGTTCATCAGTCATTGGGAGTTTGGGCCTAAACTCCAGAGAAAGGACCAAAACCCCTGTGGGTGGGGGTGGGATATAGAAGCTACGAGAAGTTAGCGAAGCCATAAGAGTGGCTTGGAATGGCCCAGCTGGTAGAGCAAAAAGAGAAGGGAGTTGAGAATCAGGCTTATTAATCTGTGGACTCAGGGAAAGCATTTGAAAAGAAGGTTCCAGGGATCCTGCTAAGGCTGAACTTCTGAGCATACACTGGCTTTTTGCCTGCTTGGCCCAGCTCCCTGGGAAGTGGCCACTTCTCTCTGCAGCATCCCGTTTACTCCGATTTGCCAGCGTGGCAGAGATTCCCCCTGCAGTGAGGCAGCACCTGGTCTCCAAGTAGCTGAGGGGAGCTTGGCCTGTCAGCCCAGGAATTCTTGTAAAGCAACAGAGAAGCAGAGAGAAATGTCTTTTTCAAAAGCTCTGGGAATGTTTGCATATTACTGATTAAAGACATCAAATTTAAATCTGTGTAGAAAAAAAGATCCAGTGGCTCATATATCAGATGCCGTAGGAATTTTATTCATCTGAGGCTAATTGTGTTAAAAGGGAAGGAGGGTTTTGTGCTTACTTAAAGCTGAGGAGACATGAAGGAAGTCCCAGGGAGCAGGTTCTTTCCATGGCTCTGTGCTGCTGCCTTTCCCACTACTTCCCTTCACTGTCATGCTCAGAATATTCTAATAAGAATCCAACTTTGTAATTCAAATCAAACCCCTGTGTTGCTTTTCTCCTTCCTACTATCTATATCATTTGATTCATCCTGGTTTCAAAATGACTTTCATCTCTGCTACATCCTTTTAAAAACTATGCCACCAAGGGCAGCTACATTTTAAATATGTTACCATCTTCCTCAGGACGTGGAATGAGTGCAACTCAAATGCAACCTCCTTCTTTTCTGAGCATTTAAATTTCTGAAGTGCTGTTCCTAAGTGTTCTTCCTCTAGTGGACCAGGGAGCTTCAAAGAATGATGGACATTGCATGGGCTTTGGAACGAAGGGTCCTGGGTTGACATCCTGCTCTATCTCTTAATAACCGGGCAAGATGCATAACTTGCAGCGCCTCAGCTTTGTACTGGGCTGGGCACTAGGGATACTGTAATGAGAGAAAAAAAAAGTGGATAGTCCCTGCCCTCATGGAGCTCATGGCCCAATGGAGAGATGACGAACACAAGTCATCACCTACGTGAATAGTTGCAAGAGAGATGGAAGAATGTGTAGGCAGGAGTGCAGACTCGAGCCAGACTGCGTAGATTTGAATCCTGGCTCTGTATTCAACCTCTGTATACCTGTTTCCTCATCTATAAAATGGATGATGCTGATAATAATTTCTGCCTGATAGGGTTGTTGTGATAAATAAATGAGTTTATATGTGGAAGTACTTAGAACAGTGTCTGGCACATATGTGTTAGCTAATATAATTATTACTAGAGGCCCAATGCATGAATTCATGCACCAGCTGTGTCCCTTGGCCTGGCCTGTGGGATCCGCCGAAACCGGCTCTCCAACGTCCCCTGAGGGCTCCCGAATTGTAAGAGAGGGCGCAGGCCAGGCTGAGGGACCCCATCAGTGCACGGGGCTGGGGAGGGACACGGGCTGTTGGCCAGCTGGGAAGGGACCGCAGGAGGGCTCCAGGGCATGTCTGGCCTATCTCGCTCTGTCCTGATCAGCTGGACCCCAGCAGCAAGTTAACTATCAGTCAGAGTGTCTGCCCCCTGGTGGTCAGTGTCTGTCATAGCGACTGGTTGGTCAACTGTCTGCCCCCTGGTGGTCAGTGCACATCATAGCAAGTGGTTGAGCGGCCTTAGCATGTCATTAGCATATTATGCTTTGATTGGTTGAACAGATGATCAGAGACTTAGCATATTAGGTTTTTATTATATAGGGTCATTATTACAAAAAGTAAAGTGACAGAAAGAAAAGTTTAGAGTGTGTTGAGAATCTATGAGTTGAGGGGATAGGGTCTGATTTAAATGGGAAAATTAGGGAAAGCTTTGTAAGGAAGTAGAAATAGAAATCCCAGGAGTTAACGCAGAGAGAGCAAGGGAAATAGCCCTGAGGCAGGCATCGCTGCTTGGATGAGAAACTAAGTGTAGTGAGGGAGGGTGTCAAAGGCTCAGCCCATGGCAAACTGGGCAGTCAATTTGAGTCACTTGAGAGCCCCCGTGCAGCAGCCAGAGCCAGAGCTCCATTTATTTTCTATATGAGGACCTGGGGCAGTTCTGAGGCCTTAGTTGTTCTGTATTTCTTGGTCTGACACCCAGAGATAGTCCACCCTCCCAGAAAAATACTGCAGCTCAAGAGGGAGAGCCATAGTTTAAAGGCATTCCCTCTTAGGCTGCCATTGGTGACTGCCATGCTCAAAACATGGCTCCTGGAAATTAACCTCTTTGCTTAGTCACACCTACATAGAGGGAATCCCTTTTCACTGTGAAACATGGCCCTCAGGCCAAATCTGGCTGCTGCCTATTCTTGTACCATCCATTGGCTAAGAATGGTTTCTATATTCTTCCATGGCTTAAAAAACACACACACAAACATGACAAAGACAGTATGTGGCTCACACACCTGAAATATTTACTATTTGGCCCTTTACAGGAAAGTTTGCCTACCCTTGCAAACCCTTACATCACAGCTGAGTCACACCCACTTGGGGCTGGCCTAGGAGGGCATTGTGTTGGGTTAGCCCTCCCTTCCCACTAATGGTGGGTCTTTGATCTTCCAGGACAAATTCTTCAGAAAGACCAGGAAATCAAGGACCTAAAACAGAAGATAGCCGAAGTCATGGCCGTCATGCCCAGCATAACGTACAGTGCCGCCACCAGCCCCCTGAGCCCGGTTTCCCCCCACTACTCTTCCAAATTTGTGGAGACCAGCCCCTCTGGACTCGACCCCAACGCCTCTGTTTACCAGCCCATGAAGAAGTGAAGACCAGCTGTGTTTCACCCAACAATGTGGTTACCAGAAGGCATTGCGAAGAAGCATCTCTGGCAGTCAAGATAACAAAAAGTTTATATTGTATTTTGTGGGACTGTATATGTTGTCATTTTTAAAAAGGGGGGAAGATAACTCCACATCTGATTAGAGCTGCCCATCAGTTTTTCTTGTAAATTTTTAGAAGACCTCACAGAACTTTGCAGTTTATTTTTCTCGGCCAATGCATTAAAACCATTCTTGGATTTCAAGTAGCCAATTTTGCCTTTTATGTAATCTTACAGTTTCCTCTTGAAGAAAGAAAAAAAAGGGGGGTTTTGCTTCTCAATCCTCTATTTTTGTTTTGTTTCGTTCCAAAATAAGCAAAACCTGCACATTGGATCCATGTGGGGTGATAATGAAAACTTTGTTTTTAAGAGTGAAGGAGTTAAATAACCTAACACAGTTTTGATTGTATAGTTGAATTCAAGAAGGTGATTCTTAATATTACAGAAAACAACATTTGATTACCCCTCTAAGGACCAAACAAATTGAAAGAGTGTCATTTAAGCTGAGGGGAGAGACTCAGGCAATGAGACTAGATGTGTTTGAAATGTTTCTATTCCCATCAGTGTGTTTAGACCTAGAAAATTGCTAGCGGCAGTCTTGTTCACAGTGCCTTGGGAAAAGACATTTCAAGAGGAAACTTGATGATTTTAGACTATTTTCCCCCTTCGTCATCATCTATCTTCTATCTGTATCGAGCTCACTGCGGATCCTGCTGTAAAACTGGTGGGTAGCTGGGCTGTTCGTTACCACCACGACCAGCACTTCCTTTCCTGTCATAGAAAGCTCCACAGTGTTCTGGATTTGTCTAAAATCCAGCACCTTGGGAAGGTGAGCTGGGTGGTGTTTGTGTACGTGAGGCTGCAATGACAGCTAATAAAAGCTGCAGTTCTAGGTTCTTCTGTTTTTGTTTTGTTTCGTTTTCATTTCATTTCACTTAACTGTGCTTTTCACTCTTCATCATCTTATGTTTGATGATTTAAAACAAACTTGACTATTCCTCAGCTCTTGTGATTAGGAGGGTTTTTTTTTGTTTTGTTTTGTTTTGTTTAAAAAATTCTAAACTCAAAACTCTGCACAAAGATTTCAGTTTCAAGTGTATATTATACATTGATAGAAAAGTGTTTGCACTGGCAATTTTTGGAAGTGTTTAAGAAGCGGGGGGGGGGGGGGGGAGGGACTGGGAGAGGGAGGGGCAAAGCAAAATTGTATTTGGAAACTAGGAAAATTAAGAAACCAAATAGATTGGTTTTGCTTCCTTGCCATGGATTCTGGAAGGACATAGTTCTTCTAAAATTTCCTGTTAATTGGCATGTACGTCTCATTTAAAGAAAATTAAGTAGGACAAGCAAGTCAGCAAAATAGAAGTATTAAAAAGAATCATCCTTTTAAACACAGATCTTATTTTGGGATTTAAAAAAAACTTCTAGCTTTAGCCAGGTGTGCATGTTGCTGCCATTTTGCATTTTTGAATCATCTTGTGTAATTGTCACCATGAAAGTGTTACTCAGAATTGTCATAGATTTTTTTCATCTTTGTGCAAAAACATGGAAAATTGTCACTGACTTTGTGTTGAGGTTTCCCCCATTTTGCTGCCTTTTGGGACACTATTTTCGTTAAATACTTGGTCTTGGCTGCATTTTTTTTTTTTTCCTGTGGGGTTCAAAAGAATAAACATTTTCTTACAGATAAACTAGTTTTCTGCCTTTTTAACTTTTTAGGAGGGCACAACAAGTTTGATTGTTCTGAATGAACCTTAGATTATTGCTCTTGTTCTCTCCTCATCTCAGCTTCCTGTCAGGTGGCCGTGTCCAGCAGACACAAGATTTGGGGTGAATCCATTTAGGTGGCTTCACCTCACGTCTTACTTAAGACATCTCCATTCTCATTCTCTTTCCCTCCCTCTTCCTCCCCCCATCCTTCCTCCCTCCCTCCCTGCTACTCTCCCTCATCCCTCTTTCTTTTTTCTTTTTAAACTAGAGGCCCAGTGCACGAATTCATGCACCAGTGGGGTCCCTTGGCCTGGCCTGCAGGATTGGGCTGAAACCGGCTCTCCAACATCCCCCGAGGGGTCCTGGATTGCAAGAGAGCGCAGGCCAGGCTGAGGGACCCCACCGGAGCACAATTGGGGCCCGGGAGGGACTGCGGGAGGGCTCCAGGGCGTGTCCAGCCCGTCTCACTCAGTCCCAATCTGCCGGACACCAGCAGCAAGCTAACCTACTGGTCGGAGTGTCTGCCCCCTGGTGGTCAGTGCACGTCATAGTGAGCATTTGAGCTGCCTTAGCATATCATTAGCATATTACCCTTTGGTTGAACAAACGACCGGACACAGCATATTAGGCTTTTATTATATAGGATCTTTGTTCAAAATATTACATATGTCCTCTTTTTACCCCCATTGATCCCCTACAGCCCACCCCGCCCCCCACCCCAGGCCTTCAGTATCCTCTTGTCTCTGTCCATGGGTTATGCATATATACATACAAGGTCTTTGGATGATTACTTCCCACTCACCCACCCTCCTCCGCCTTCCCTCCGAGATTCCACACTCTGTTCCCTGCTTCCATGATTCTGGGTCCACTCCGTTCATCAGTTTATTTTGTTAAATGGATTCCACATATGAGTGAGATCATGTGATACTTGTCTTTCTCTGACTGACTTATGGGTTATGCATATATACATACAAGGTCTTTGGATGATTACTTCCCACTCACCCACCCTCCTCCGCCTTCCCTCCGAGATTCCACACTCTGTTCCCTGCTTCCATGATTCTGGGTCCACTCCGTTCATCAGTTTATTTTGTTAAATGGATTCCACATATGAGTGAGATCATGTGATACTTGTCTTTCTCTGACTGACTTATTTCACTTAGCATGATACTTTCCAGGTCCCTCCAGGCTGTCTCAAAGGATTAGAGATCCTTCTATTTTACTGCTGCATAGTATTCCACGGTATAAATGTACCACGGCTTTTTTATCCACTTGTCTACTGATGGGCACTTGGGCTGTTTCCAGATCTTAGCTGTTGTAAATCGCTCCCTCCCTCTTTCTCTCTGGTGACTGGTTAGAACCAAGGCTGACTTGTCCTCCTGTCCTAAAAAAACCAAGTTAGCGGGGCTGGAAGGTAGTCGGTGAGACAATCTTGAGAGCAAATCTCCTTCCCATTTTCCAGAACCTTGTAGGCACACGTTGTGACCAGGACCCTGTTGGGTTTGCTCCTAATGTGATCCACACGAACCGCCAAAGGAACCTCTCCCAAGCCTCCCGTTCCTGGAGGCTTTGCTTTGTCTTCCGAGAAGCCAGCGCCCCTCTCAGCCCTGTTTTCCTCTCTCGGCCATTGTTACCATTGGTCTTGGCATCTCACCTATGTCCCTGTTGCTGGGTAGCCTCCCTAAGTCTCCGCCATTTAGGGTCTTGCAGACACACCACACAGTACCTCGAGCAGAGTTCCCAGGGGAAGCACTTCAGTTTGGCTTTATTACCTTTGCCGACCCTGCAGAAATGTCTGCCTATAGCGTTCTCGAACACAGCATGTCTTTTCCACCAGGGAAATCTCCAGTTGTCATCTTTGTTTTTTTGTTTTTTTTAATCCTCACCCAAGGATATATTTCCATTGATTTTAGAGAGAGTGGAAGAGAGAGGGAGAGACAGAGAGAAACATTGATGTGAGAGAAACACATCGAATGAGACAGAGAGAAACATTGATGTGAGAGAAACATCGAATAGTTGCCTCCTGCATGAGCCCCGACCAGGGCCCAGTCTGGAGAGGAACCTGCAACCGAGGTACATGCCCTTGACCAGACTCGAACCTGGGACATTTGGTCTGCAGGCCGATGCTCTACCCACTGAGCCAAACTGGACAGGGCCGTCTTTGTTTCTTTCTTTTTTTTTTTTTTTCCAAAAATATCTCTTTATTGATTTCAGAGAGGAAGGGAGAAGGAGAGAGAGAGAGATAGAAACATCAATGATGAGAGAATCATTGATCAGCTGCCTCCTGCACACCCCCCACTGGGAATTGAGCCCACAACCCAGGCATGTGCCCTTGGCTGGCATCGAACCTGGGACCCTTCAATCTGCAGGCTGACGCTCTATCCACTGAGCCAAACCAGCCAGGGCCGTCTTTGTTTTTTTAGGCCCATCATACAATAGTCCCATGTCTTAGTACTTTAGAATTTCTTACGTGCCATAAAGCAGTGTTTGCCATTCTGGATGGTTAGGTATTTACCTTAAGAGCAGGCAGAGTGTGTGTTGACCGGCCAGACAACCTCTTACTGACGTCTCCCAACTTGACATAAGGAAGAAGCGATCCTGAGTGTCCATTCTTGCGGTGACCATCTTTCCAAGAGGCCCTGCAAGATGAGAATGAACAGCTCCTCTTGGCCCCTGGCCAGGGGGAAAGGAATGGTCCTTTCTCTAGGACAGTGATGGTGAACCTTTTGAGCTCGGCGTGTCAGCATTTTGAAAAACCCTAACTTAACTCTGGTGCCGTGTCACATATAGAAATTTTTTGATATTTGCAACCATAGTAAAACAAAGACTTATATTTTTGATATTTATTTTATATATTTAAATGCCATTTAACAAGGAAAAATCAACCAAAAAATGAGTTTGCGTGTCACCTCTGACACGCGTGTCATAGGTTCGCCATCACTGGGCTATGGCAAGGTGCCTGGGAGGGCTGAGCCTTTCTAAGCTGGTCTTAGATCGCTTCTTACAGAACCCACCCAATACCAGAGGGAGCGGAAATGATGAACCGGAAACCTACCCCAAAGCCAGGTAAGTGAAGTTCAAGTAGTAAACTGTTTTCACTTGGGCCACAGTAGCTCAACCGCTGAGGTTAAAGGGCCTCTGAGACCCATAAAGGTCTGGTTTCCTGTGACTCTCAGTGACGTTTCTTGCTGAGCTGGCTTCTTCACCGGCCAGCAGCACTTGCCCAAGGGCAGCCCCCACTCTAAGGGTCTAGTCTGTTGCAGGCCAGCAAGCCCTCTCGACCAGTGGTTCTCAACCTTCCTAATGCCGCGACCCTTTAATACAGTTCCTCATGTTGTGGTGACCCCCAATTTCATTGTTACAAATTGAACATAATTAAAGCATAGTGATTAATCACAAAAACAATATGTAACTATATATGTGTTTTCTGATGGTCTTAGGCGACCCTTGTGAAAGGGTCGTTTGACCCCCAAAGGGGTCGCGACCCACAGGTTGAGAACCGCTGACAGAGATGAGCGTCTGCGCCCAGCTCTGCCGCCCCCTGCTCTGTGACCTCTCTTAACCTCCCTAGGTAGGTGCTGTTTCCTTACCTTCCACGAGTAGTATTCCTGCTGGAAGGAGTTACTATGGGAACAGGGTGACATGCACAAGTGCTCTGCAAATGATCCAGCGCCTCCCTGGTGGAAGTCCAGAACTGTAGCCTCAGAGTGAAGGTGGGACAGGGACCTGGTGAATTCCTGTTCCTGGGGCAGCTCCACCCCCACAGCCTGACTCCTAAGTGGAGCTCCTCAAACGTGTGCGATCTGCAGCTTCACTTTGGGCATCAGCATCTCTGGGACCCCTTTCCCAGACACCCACCCCAATCTGAGTCTGTATTTCAACAAGATCTCCAGGTGACTCGGTGGCTTATTAAATGTTTGGAAGCCCTTGTGCGAGCGGCTTTCCTAACTAGGAAATAGGCCTCTGTGATCCATCTCAGTCAACTTTTAATGGCAACGGTTACCGAATTCCCCCGGGCAAACTGAATGTGGGGAGGAGGGAAGAGGATATGAGAACAAAGAACTGGATGGGAGCCAGCATCCTGGTGGAAACCCCCGGGATGCCTGCCTCACCTAGACGGGGAGGTGGAGGCAACTAGAAAAGGCCTCAGTCCAGTTTTTTTTTAAATGGCCCAATGGGAGACGTATGAGGAAACAGATGACCCCGTAGCACTCAGCCAATGAGGAATGGGAGGAGGGGCTGAATAAATAGGCTGTGTTCGCTACCCCAGGTGTGCCTGTGCCACCGGATGGACACCCGCTCTCGAGAACTTACTAAAAGTCTCGTTTTCGCCATACTTCTGCCTCAGACAGGTGAGCATTTCTCACACTAACCTGAAGGCTCCACACTGTCACTCTCTTCCAGTTCAGAGAAAGCCAACACTCAGGCTCTGAAAATTCAGAATTCAGAGCTTCATTGAGGGGGGGCCCTGGAGAGGAAGAACTCCTTAGGGTTAATACATGTTGCTCATTGTGTTGCTCTCTCCTCCCCATTAGAATGCAGGCTCCGGGAGGGCAGAGACCTTCTGCTTTTTTACTGCTGTAACCCCAGCAATGACTGCCACACAGGAGGGATTCAATAAATACTATTGAATGGGTAAGGTTAATTACTAGGCTAGACATGTAATCTGAAATAATGTATCTTTTTTAAAAATATATTTTATTGATTTTTTGAGAAGGGCGAGGGAGAGAGAGATGGACACATCAATAGTGAGAGAGAATTATCTATCGGCTGCCTCCTGCACATCCCCTACTGGGGATCGAGCCTGCAACCCAGGCATGTGCCCTTGACTGGAACCGAACCTGGGACCCTTCAGTCCACAGGCCAATGCTCTATCCATTGAGCCAAACCAGCTAGGGCTGAAATAATGTACCTTAACTGAATCAGAGCATTTCTGTGATTGTTCTAGTGAAAAATAGAACTGTTTGTGGAAGGAGAGGGGGAC